TTGGGCGATGCTCAGGACTTTGTCGCGCCAGGATCGCCAGAAGGTGTCAACTGGGCATGGGTCGTGTTGGTTTGGATGGTGGTTGAGATTTGTGCGTGAAAGGGCTTCTCGAAGAAGGTGGATAGTGCTGTCTGTCCATGACCAGAATGTGGTCCTTCTGGATCGTGGAGGGGAGTTGTTAATTATGGGGGGCAGTTGATTACTGATGTGGCCACTGATAGTAATGTGATCGGATGCGCCAAACGGTGGAAGTGATTGGATGTGAACATCATTGCTGTGAGTGAAGAGATAACAAGGTCTAGACATGAGAGAGGTGTTTGTCGGTGGATGTAAGTAGGGAATCTGACATGTTGTGTGAGGGCGTATGTGTGTAGATGAGTTTGTATGTCGTCCCCAAGGCGATCTGTTCTGTCTGTGGTGAGCCACGCACTGTTCTTGGCATTGAAGTCTCCAAGTAGTAGGAGGTCGTCACCTTCCGCTCAAGCGGTTTTAATGCTTCTTTCCAGTTCCGCACAGAAGAGGGTGCCATCGCTACGGAGTGGTCGGTAAATGTTTGCAACAACGAGGGAAAGGTTATCGGTGGAAATTCTCGTCCATACGCATTCTGCTGCTGTCATTGGTATTGTCAGTACCCTTGTGTTGAAACGTTCCGCCGTGTACAAGGCAACACCACCACCAAAGTCCTGTCTGTCAGCTCTGATCAGCTTGTAGCCTGGGATTGCATAGAGACTGTCAGGGTCTGACGTGTCAGCCCAGGTTTCCTGGACTGCAATGACTGATAGTTTGTTCTGAGATTCAGAGCACGAACGGGTAAAGGTAAGTAACTCGTCCATTTTGTTGAATAAGCAACGCACATTGGTGCTGAGAAAGTTCAAATTCACTGACATTGGTATGGATTTTTTTCTTCTTTTTTTCTTCTTTTTTTCTTCTTTTTGAACAAACGGCGAGGAGACAACAATTTGATAACCGCAATCAGTAATACAAGCTGGATCGACATTTGTGTAAACTGTATACATGTATTGTAAAACTGTGGAGACAATGTGCAATAAAACGATGAAAATGTGAAGAAATTGGGTAGAGAAAGAAAGGGATTCAAACAAGTATTCACTGTATTGTGCCGTGGTCATCATGGTTATGGACTACAGTTAAAGGTTTTGGAAGCCATCTGTCAGCGTCTGTATAAGCCTAATTTGTGTGTACAGAAAGATAGTGTAATTGGTTTGGAATTGTTCAAGTAAAGTGTCATGTTTTGTGCGGCCAAGCTTGGCCGTTAATGTGCTAGGTGTAATGTACTGCTGTTATTTGTTATCACTTTGTCCTTCCTTCTTTCTTTCTCTTCTTTGTTCACTTTTCAGTTGCAAGTTTAGTGTTAGTACACACGTTCGTTATTGCTCTCGCTTTCATTGTTAAAATTCACACTTGTAAATTTCACTGCTGTTGTTCTTAGTGTTATTTCTCTAACTTAGATTTTCTATAATAGTTCAATTTTGTTTTCAGTGTCCTTTAGTACAACGAAGATTCCTGATGAGTGTTGTACGAAAACTTGTTTGAATCCCTTTCTTTCTCTACCCAATTTCTTCACATTTTCATCGTTTTATTGCACATTGTCTCCACAGTTTTACAATACATGAATACAGTGTACACAAATGTCGATCCAGCTTGTATTACTGATTGCGGTTATTTCTTGTTTTTGTTTTTTGTTTTTGCTGTTCCTGATGGAATTCGCGTTATGCTGTTGGCTTCCTCTACTTGGCCTTGGAGCGATGCGACGGGATCGCATTGGGCGGTGTCTGTTCCAACTGGTTGTGCTTGCGGCGTCGCTTGCTGTGTGTTTTCCAGTCTCCCTTGTCTACTGTGGCTTGTTGAAGTAGCGCAAGGCTGCGTTCGTCCTCATCACCGTACATGGTGTCACTCGTGTCGACGATGTCGCTCGTATCTGCATCTCCCTCGTGATCACGATGCGTGCTGATCGCAGTGGCCAGCATGCTGCTGCTTGGTGACGTGGGGCTGGGCAAGTGGTCGTCTTTCGTCGACGTGCTGTTGGCTGGGGAGTCCTTGCTTGACTCTTCTTTATTGCTGCCAGTTGATTTTTCATGTTCAAAACTGTCGTTCGGTTGAACCGCCAGGCTCGAAGCTGAGTCCATCCGCGTTGTTGTTGTTGTTGTTGTTGTTTCAAATCTTTATTCTCACGATAGCCAGTGGCCAATAAGAGATAATAGTGTAAGAAAGGAGAAAGAGTGAGGAAGAATTGGGTGGGCAGGGCCTAGGAGTTAATGACTACTTAAGTGTACGGGCAGGGGTGGTCGCCACACGAGCATACAGAGTTGTGTACTTAAGTGTACGGGCAGGGGTGGTCGCTACACGAGCATACAGAGTTGTGCAACAGCAGGGATATCTCGGATTTGAAGGGAGTACGAGAAGGGATTTCGCGAAGCTGGGTGGGCAGGCAATTAAAGTAATGAAGGGCCTTGTACAGGGGAGAATGGAGACAGCGGTCAGTCCGCGGAGTTGGCAAGTGCCAAGTACGAGAGCGACGTAAATTATACGAAGGTTGCACGTTGCTAGCAGTATGCAGCGGAAGTATATGTGGTGGTGCATAATTGTGGCGCAGAGAATGCGCGAAGAGTATATGTTTAACTTTAAAGCGTGAACATAATGTTGGCCATTTGATGCGATGCAAAAGGTGGGAGTGTTCTAAGTGTGTGTAAAGGGGAAGGTGGAGACATATTCTGGCGGCTTTCCGCTGGAGTCGTTCTAACCTGTCAAGGGAAGTGTGGGACAACGGTGTGAGAGAATTGCTCGCATATGAGAATATAGGTAGTATGTATGTCTGATAGATGTGAGATAAAGTATCACTGGTGAGTGTAGACCTTAGTCTAAAAAGAATATTGAAAGACTTGAGTGATTTTTTGACTATGTATTCAACATACTCCGTCCAACGGAGGTCATGCTGAAAAATTATTCCAAGGTGTTTGTGTTTTTGTGTCACGGTAAGCGGACTATTCCTGAGGGTGATCTGGGGTGGCTCTTCAGGGGGCGGTTATTGTGGTAGACCGGGAGGATGATTGTTTTCTTTGTGTTAACCAGCAGGTGCCATCTTTGAAGTCAGTCTCCAGCTGCTGTGACACTCTGTTGTAGGTTTTGGGTGCAGTCTTGAAGAGTTCTCGCCATGGAAATTAGAGCGGTGTCATCTGCAAATTGGCTACAGGTGGTGCCGGGATTCTCACATGCGTGTGGAAGGTCTATGGTGTAGACGAGGAATAGAAGCGGCCCAAGAACAGATCCCTGAGGGACGCCGGCAGGGATCTCAAGGAAAGGCGATAGGTCGCCGTCCACCTGGACCCTTTGCCGACGCCCCAACAGGTGCCGTCGGAACCACTTCAGGGCGTTGCCCTGGACACCATAGTGGGAGAGTTTTGCTAGAAGGCCTGCATGCCACACACGATCGAAGGCCTTTCTTAGATCGAAAAAGCAGGCATTGACGTGTTTCCCGTCGTCTCTCGCAGTGGAGAGGGTATGGACGAGACGGGCGAGTTGCTGCTCAGTGCCGTCTTTCTCACGGAATCCGGACTGCTTGTTGGGCAGGTGGGTGTGTGATGTGCTTGTAGACGAGTTGATGTGCAATTTTTTCTTGGATTTTTGATGTAGTGCTCAAGAGAGAGATGGGTCTGTAATTTGTTGGTTGGGTTGGGTCACCGGGCTTGGGTACTGGAGTAATGGTGGCATCTTTCCACTCCTGTGGGATTTGTCCAGTTTGGAACGATAGATTAAAGAGGGACGATAACGACGGTGCAAGTTCCTTAGCCGCTTCTTTGAGTAGGCGGTTTGGAATAGAGTCGAACCCGGGGCTTTTATTGGTTTTTAGGAGTTTTTCGACCTCAGCTTGGGAAGTCGAGATTTCTTGAAGGGGACTGAGGATGTCAGGGGTGGTGTTGATGGCTGGAGATTGCTCATCCGCATTGGCCACGGACAGCTTGCTCTGTGAAATGAAGAATTCGTTGAGGGCAGCGGCTTTTTGTGCTGGTGTCGTTGCAGGAGTTGCTTGGCTGATGAGTTTGGGTGTGCGTTGTTTTGTAGCTGTAGTTAGGTGCTTCATAAGTTGGCGTAGGGAAGTAGAGGAGGCTGTTGAGTTGTTTACGAAATCCGATTTTGCACGACGCAGGAGGGTGGTGACACGGTTTCTTTGGGCAGTGAACGTGTTCCAGTCGTCGGGCGAGCGTGAGTGGAGGTATATTCTGTGTTTTCTGTGCTTATCCTTGATCTCTTTCAAGAGGCCCTTTGATATCCATGGTCGTGCTGGCACGTTCTTCTTGTCCCAAGGGGGGTGAGTGCGAGTAACTTGGCAGTGTTCTTGGGCGATGCTCAGGACTTTGTCGCGCCAGGATCGCCAGAAGGTGTCAACTGGGCATGGGTCGTGTTGGTTTGGATGGTGGTTGAGATTTGTGCGTGAAAGGGCTTCTCGAAGAAGGTGGATAGTGCTGTCTGTCCATGACCAGAATGTGGTGCTTCTGGATAGTGGAGGGGAGTTGTTAATTATGGGGGGGGCAGTTGATTATTGATGTGGCCACTGATAGTAGTGTGATCGGATGCGCCAAACGGCGGAAGTGATTGGATATGAACATCATTGCTGTGGAGTGAGGAGATAACAAGGTCTAGACATGAGAGAGGTGTTTGTCGGTGGATGTAAGTAGGGAATCTGACATGTTGTGTGAGGCCGTATGTGCGTAGAAGAGTTTGTATGTCGTCCCCAAGGCGATCTGTTCTGTCTGTGGTGAGCCACGCACTGTTCTTCGCATTGAAGTCTCCAAGTAGTAGGAGGTCGTCACCTTCGGCTCTAGCGGTTTTCATGCTTCTTTTCAGTTCCGCACAGAAGAGGGTGCCATCGCTACGGGGTGGTCGGTAGATGTTTGCAACAACGAGGGAAAGGTCATTTGTGGAAATTCTCGTCCATACGCATTGTTGTTGTTGTTGTTGTTTTGTGATTGATTTGTATGCTCCAGGCCAGCTTGATTTGTGCAGAGTGTGGTATTGAGGGCTACAGTGATCCCACTGAACTGATTGCCAACGTGTGTGGAGAAGAAGGTTCAGGGAAATCCACCTTCATTTCATCCTTCACATTCACAGCAAAAGGTTTCTTCAATGCACTACTACGTAAGGAGAATCAACCGGACATGAAGGCAAATGATTTAGCCTCCAGGACAAAGGTGAGTTGAAAGCAATGTTGAATGCACACAGCAGCACATAGGATACAGTGTGATTTGGATGAATGTATTGTTAGTCCAAATTACTACCACCCCACCAACACAATTGTTGGTATACAACTAATACACCACCATGTACTTGACTCGGATGGAGAGGCAATGATTAATTTATAGTAAAGAAAAAGGACCAAGGAACAAGTTACGCTTTAACTCTTAGCGTGCTGAGTACGAGTTAACTCGCACTTTATGCATGACCCGATCCACTACGTACGAGTTGACTCGCAAAAAAATCGCGCGATATATCGCAGTGCCTAGACCAGTGTACAAACGTTCGTAACTATGTCAGACATAAACGCATCGCAACTATCAATACAAAGTTGAAAAGGGCTTGACCTCATCCTTCCGATGATATAAAGTTCTTCGCGATAGGATGAGAATTCATTGAGCGGCGACAAGATGAACACGGAAATCACGGCCCAGAGTGAACGCGAATTTTTTTGTTCATGACTACTTTTTGTTGAGGAGCGTGCCAGGGGATTTCCCTTTGGCACGGCGCATGCATGATGGACATCAAATTAAAGGGGAAGTATACCCTAAAATCAAATTTTCCCCAGTTGTAGTCTTCGGGGTGCTGAGTCGAATGGTCTTGGTCCGAGGAAGCTGAGACGCTCCCTTCCTCCTTTATTCCCAATCGAACTCGCGCACTTCCACCGAAACTGGGTGACTGCGCCCTACTAGATGGGGGTTTGTATGCAAAATGTCACTAAAAGCGGCATTTCGTTCTTATAAAAGCACGGATGACCGCCATTGGCCCATATGTTGTAGTCTTTTGGACACTGAGTCGATTGGTTTTGGTCCGAAAAGGCTGCGATGCAGCGTTCTTCCTTTATTCCCAATCGAACATGGTTGAACAAGCGGTCACGTGCTCCTGCGTACACCAGTCACCCGGTCACCGTGCCTGCAGGGTACAACTTACTAGCCTGTTTGACCTTTTTTGGGTGCAGTCCTGTCACTCGAGTTGAACTCGAGTTGAACCTTGGTGTGAAAGTTGTCGCCTGCTGGCGCGGTGACCAGGTGATTTGGGCACCCAGGAGCACGTGACCGCTTCTTCAACCATGTTCGATTGGGAATAAAGGAGGAACGCTGCATCGCAGCCTTTTCGGACCAAAAACCAGTCGACTCAGCGTCCAAAAGACTACAACATATGGGCCAATCGCGGTCATCTGTGCTTTTACAAGAACGAAATGGCGCTTTTAGTGACATTTTGCATACAAATCCCCATCTAGTAGGGCGCAGTCACCCAGTTTCGGTGGAAGTGCGCGAGTTCGATTGGGATTCAAGTAGAAAGGGAGCGTCGCAGCTTCCTCGGACCATTACCATTCGACTCAGCACCCAGAAGACTACAACTGGTGAAAATTTGATTTTAGGGTATACTTCCCCTTTAAGCGCTTGGATCTGAGCTTTGCAGCACAGTTTGAATTGTGAAAATCTGTTGAATTTGGGCAAGAAGCCGAACAAGAATGTGAAATTGAGTTGTTGTGCCGTTTCGAGGCACGGTGGAGTAGTTCGGAGAGGACGTGGAAGTGGCTCTGATGTGTCTATGGAGCTGAGAGCTGCCAGGATGGATTCGCTTGGTCCTGATCTTTCAAACGAGCCCAGGACGATGAAAATCCATCAAGGTGGAGTGAAATGAGAATAGATTTCGTTCGGAGCTGTGAGTGCATACTCCACCAAGAGCGTCAGTGCGCTGGAAAGCCAGTGGATTGGAGAAAAGGGGCTCAGCATGCAAAGGGTCCACTAACACGACCAGTTACTTGACAATCAGCTCATGCGATAACATTGCACGACACTGACCGACGGCACTGACGTTCTACAACTAACTAGCTAACAGCTCTAGCACGTCTTGGGTGCGCACTCCAACAGCCTTCCAACTTGGAAGGTTCTACAGTATATGAAAACATAGGAATGGTCTTGCCAGTATCGTCATTGACATGCATGAACATCCACCAACGTCCTTCACAGCAGAGACCAGGGGCTTAGCCAGGATAGTGATCAAGGGGGGTGCCACGACTTTCCCCACACAAAAGTACATGCACTTATGTTGGTCCTTTTAAGTTTCATGCACATTATTCCATTCGTGAAATGGGGGGGGGGGGGGGGGGGGAGCAAAATTCGCCCCTAATTCGACGCTGAAAATCAATCAGTAAATGGCAAATCTCCAACCAAGGAGTAGTAATTATTATGATATTTTACTACTCCCTGCTTCCGACTAATGATGGACAAAGTCCTGGATGCTGCTTTCTCCAGAATTATCACACTCTCCATGAAACTTTTAAAGTGGGATTTCTCGAGCCATGTTTCCTCTTCGTCATGTTTGATAGTGCAGTAAGGCATCCTTGATCAAACCTACACTAAGTTATTCTCCACAAAACTCAAACTGCACTTCAACGTTACTTTCACTCTTCTGCTGCTGTACCCACACTTGCAATACTTGAAAGAAACTGTGCCGTTCCACAACCTCCATAAGACCAATTAATTAACAGCCAGAACTACATTATACAAAACACAGGGAGAGTAAACTGCTATGTCTGACGTGTGCTTTCCGTCCATATACCGCGTTGCTACTTCCTTGCTTCTACCAATAGCGTGTTTTGTACGATTCCTTGCTTCTAACAAAACATGTGGAGTGCAAATCATGCGCTGAGCCTGCTGAGGCCTGATGTGACACTGCATAACAGCAGGCACGAAGCGGAGTTCCCTTGACTAGAAATTTCATTGCAAAATGGCGAATCATGAGACAAAAATAAATAGTCAACTGCATTTGGATTGGTTTCAGATACATTGTACTTGCAGGTCTGAACCAGCGAGTAGTACCTACTACTCCCTTGTCTGAACAGGGATGGCTACAATGTGCGATGTGCAGAGTGGCACGCATGTGATCAGCGGTCTGCGTATACTATACTATGCATATAATTATGGTCTCTCTCTCTCGAACCAGATGTGAAACAAGATCGAAATTTTTGAGGGGGGTGCTTTGGCACCCAAAGCAGCCCCCCCCCCTTGCCTACGCCACAGCAGAGACTTTCAGCTTGTGCTTGTTTTGGTTGCGTTCACCTTCCCCCATCCTTTGTTTTCATATAACTTAGAACCTTCCAAGTTGGAAGGCTGTTGGATTGCGCACCCAAGACTTGCAAGAGCTCATGGCCAGTTACTAAGTACTGTAAGACATGTATATATAACGAGGAAGCAAATCTAACGTTTTAACGGATGACATTTCTTCGTTATAATAAGATCCGTTGAGGCCGTACTGCTTCATATATGCTGTGTGTGGATATGGCAGAATACTGCAAGATCGTTAACATATCTTCTCGTTAACCTATGAATTTTGGACAATCGTTAAATTTGCGACTCGTTATAATAACATGTCTTACAGTAGTTGTAGAACGTCAGTACTGTCGGTCAGTGTCGTGTCAATCTTATCATATGAGTTGGTTGTCAAGTAACTGGTGGTGTTAGTGGACATTATAGCATAATTTGCAATTCCTTGGTCCTTTTCTTTACTACAAATAGCACCTTGTGATCAGAATAATAATAAACATAGAAGTATAATGTGGCATGACAATATATCATGACAATATTATTATATTGTCATGCCGCATGACAATATAATAATATTGTAATGCCGTATTATACTTCTACGTGTATTATTTACACATAGCATTACTATACTGTTACTGTAGACCACTATTATGTTAGTGAGATGGGTGTAATTCACACAGTGTTCACTTTCTCACGGCATATGTTCATTTTTCAATTTTTTTCCATGTAGGGAATTGAAGAAACCATGTGGAAGCAATCGCAGGTGAACGTGCGTTTTCGCGACTTTGCGGGCCACGACCATTATTCTGCGTCACACGACTTTTTTGCTGTTTCCATGACAGCACCATCTGTTGCCACGATCGTGGTGGATGGCACAGAGTCGGTTGAAGAGATCACGAAACGTGTCAGTGCAACTGCTGCTAGTTATGCGTGTAGACAATCAACATCTGATGATGGTGAGTGGATAACAATGTACTACAGTCGTGTCCAAAGAAATCCCATCAGCAAGACAAAAGTAGCTGCGTCGTTCCGTTTCAATCGCATAATGTATTTAACTCGGATACTGAGCCAATAAATATGATTAAAGTAGAAGAAATCACATGGAAACGAGTTATAAAGCAGCTATCCACGACTGTAACAAGATAATAAGCAGTAGGAGGTGTGATGACTGCGTATTATCTTGTTACAGTCGTGGATAGTTGCTTCATAACTCGTTCCATGTGATTTCTTCTATTTTTATTACATAATGTATTGTCCAGCCCTCTATGTCAGATATAATAGCCAATCTTTGAGCAGGCACCATGCACAAAATTGATTGGGTAGGTGGCGGTGAGAAGAAGAGTTCTGTGCCAGAATGTAGAGTGTGTTTTTGGAATTTGTTTTACCTCTTTTCTGTGCAAAGTGTTTACCGGGTGTTAGCGGCCGTCATCTGTTCCCGTCGGGAACGGACACGGTAATTTTTTCTTTCCTATTTTGTGTCAAGTGGGCCTTTACCATCGTATCATTCAGCCAGGAATGTGGCTGCCGTCACGTCTCCACATTTACTCTACTGGACTAGTCACATTGTGATGAAAATAGTTTTTTTGATCATCTCGAAAGGGAGAACAGTAATTGAGTCCATTTTGTGATTTCATACGTAGGTTCTGAACTGGACGGCCAACAGCAGCAACCAATGCCACTGCAGCTGCAGTTGCAATCACACACACAACAGGCAGGTGGGCACGAGCAGAAACTAGACGTTGTGGCTGTTGCTACACGTGCAGATCTGCTTACTCCTTTCCAACGTGGCCAAGTGGAAAGGGCGATTGTGGAAGGGATGAAATCATGTTCACAGCGTTTGGAGCTTGCCTTTGTGAGAGTAGTCGATGCTAGAAAGTCCAACAGTTCAAGTATGAAAGAGCTGAGAACAGCATTCCTACACTTGGTGCACAAAGTACTGGCGGTAAGATTGCAATTTTGAATGTTGTTATTCTGAAACGGCTCATATTTCTTGTGTTGAAATATCTCCTTCGGAACCCACAATAGTGTGGAACTATAGTTTTCTTTGCTACAAATATAACAAGTTCTGACTCAAACTGTATGAACTGCTCTCTGACTCATTGTCCTTTTTTCGTTTTTCCTCAATTTTCTCCTGGCCCATCTCAACAAGAATAACCTTTGCATGAATTTCAATGAATTTCAATAAATTTGAACAAAGGTTTTGAATATAAACTGGTAAGTGTATTGAAGGGTGGCGTGCAGTTTGCATGTTGGCACTAGGGAATGTGCAAATGGGTGCAATTGATTTTCCTAGTGCTAAGGAATACAATGTAGAGACAATGTCAACAGTCAGTTCTTAAGGGGGAGGGTGAAGAAGATCTCCGAAAACCAAGATTTCCCAGCACAGGCTTACTTGTGAACTACTGTGAATTCTGTGATATTAAGTTTAACAATAATGCACACAAAATGCAAGTGCCCTGAGACCTCTTTACATTCGATGTGTCTGTGACGTTGTTCATGCTGCCTGCAGAAGTCTCCAAGGCAACATCGCCTCGTGCAGAAGGCTGATGACTACTTGGATGAAGTCAAGGCCTCTCTGAGCAATCCATACTGCACAAGGAAAGAGTTTGTTGCAGCATTCCAGAACGTCATTTCCCAGAAGGCCGCTTCCAGAAGACAATATTCTGTTAGAGAGCGTGTTGCAGAGAACATCAGTAGCTGTCTTCGGATTCTGACAGCTTATGGATATGTAAGAAACTGTGTTCTCAATGTACTTATCCAAACACGATTTCTATCGGGGTGTTGAAAAGGGGGACAGGGTGCAACTGCAAATGGACTGTCGACAACACCCTGCATACACAACTATCAATGAATGTAGCAAACATCAGGAGTATATAAGTAAGGGCGGGATGGTGGCCGAGGGAGGGGTCAGAGGGTACGGACAACCCCCCCCTATTTCTGCCCACTGCCAGCTGTGAACAATTGAAAAAAGTACTCTTTTTTAGCCATGTCCATGCAGTGGTGGAAACTGACATTCGACATACGTATTTTTATGTATGAGTGCTGCGGAGCCAAAATGGATCATGATGAGACCAACAAATCTAGAAAATTATTGTTTGATATTCGCTTACTGGTCTTGCGGGTGCTGGTGTACCGTTATACAGATAGAGGTTATGCCATTACTTCATTAGTTGAAATGCTTTTGTAAAGCAATTTACTGGCAAAAGGTGAAACCCCCGACTCGACTCTGTGTGTGTGTGCGTGTGTGTGTGTTTGTCTGTGTCTCTTTGTCTGTGCGTCTATCTGTCTGCCTGTCTGTCGTGTCGGTCTGTTCGCCTGTCTATCTATCTGTATTTACGTGTGTATGTGGGATGACTATGGTTTCTGCTAAAGATCATCACATTCCCCGAGCTGGATGATCTGGTGGTTCATAACCGTCGCTGGCTTCTGCAGGACGTGATTGGGTTCATGTACTCTTCCAACGTCTTCCCCCTCCGACCTGATGGCATTGCCAGGGAATACAAGATAAGTGAAGAGGAGTTCGTCCGTTCTCTGACGGCCTTCGCCAAAGTCGGTGAAAAGGCAACACTCTGCGTGCGCATGGCCTTGCAGCTTGGCTTGAGCATCCGCTCTCAGAAAGATATCCTTGCTCTCTCCCTGCTTCCTGAGTGCACACAGCCATTGAAGATGCACAGAGCCTTCAGGACCTCACAGGTGATGGTTGGCTCTGTCCACACCTGCACTACAGCAGCAGTCGCAGCCACAATGACCCGAACGGCAACAGCCTTGGGCACAGTCGCAACTAGAGAGTCATCGACATCAGAAACATGCCAAGCGGCCGTAATAGGAAGCACAGGTACGTGAAGAACCATTTCTAGCATGTGATTACTACATCCAAACCCTACAAATCTACTCTGCATCGATCATTCACTTCTCCCTACACCCGCACGTTTCGTATATTTTCCGCTTTTCTTTCCACATCTGGTTATCTCTAGCTGTTGACCTTATCCTACAACGGGTTCCAACGGTTGATTGTCCCCTGCAACACCAACTTGTGAAATGTTAAAAGCTAGAGAGGTGCCAGCTCCATGTTCTACTTCAGGGCCATGTACAAACTGTCAGTCACTGATTGAATAACAAAGATTACAAACACTACAAGGAATGGACATGTTAGAGACGGTGGTCTGAAACTTGCATACGCACACTATGGCATGAAACGCTATCCTGACATGTACTTCAAAATAACTGCATGATCAGCTTCAAGGCAAAGGGAATAACAACTTCATTCAAGAATAGAGTGTGCAGCCATTGGGCTAACCTTTTTGGCACAACCAAGCCCTGAACGGTTCCCTGCCATTGTCTAACTTGTAGTTTTAACATTACAGTAAAACCTGGTTTAGACGACCACCCCACGGTGCAAGCAAAAGCGGTAGTTAAAGCCAGTTGGTCTTTAAAAGCAGGTCCCACGGTGTCTGTGTAGAACTGCATGGAAAACCAGTCGTTAGGCGAAGGTGGTCGCTAAGCCCAGAGGTCGCTTACACCAGGTTTAACTATATAACTACATATGTCACAATCTTTCATACCTATCTGATTCTCTTCTTCACTTTATCTCTTCCTGTTTATGCCAAAGCCGAGCCAGCAGCAGCCACAGCAGCACCTCCCGTCAATGTGGCAGATACAGTGACGCCCACAGTAGCCGCTACAGCAGACGTCACAGCAGCCTCTACAGCAACAGTCGCAGACACAATGATGCAAACGGCAACAGCCATGGACACAGTCGCAACTAGAGAGTCATCCACATCAGAAACATGCCAAGCGGCCGTAACAGGAAGCAGAGGTATGTGAAGAATCATTTCTAGCATTATGATTACCACCAGCAAACACTTCCACTGGGCTTTACCCTTTTACAATCCATCGGTTCCAACGGATGATTGACTGCCGCAACACAAACATGTGAAATGCTAAAAGCTAGACGGGTGCAATCTCCATGTTTAGGTTTGGTACCATGTACAAACTGTCAGTTACTGATTGCACTACAAAGATTACAAGCACTACAAGGAAAGGACATGTTAGAGACGGTGGTCTGAAAGCTTCAATCACACACTATGGCAAGAAACGCTATCCTGACATGTTCTTCAAAATAACTGCATGACCAGCTAATATGCAAAGGGGTTAACAAGCTCATTTAAGTATAGAATTTACAGTCACAGAACTAGCTATTTGGGCACAACCAAGCCCTGAACCGTTCCCTGCCATTCTATAAAATGTTATTTTAACATTATTACTACATAATGTCACAATCTTTCATACCTATCTGATTCTATTCTTTACTTTATCTCTTCCTGTTAATGCCAAAGCTGAAGCAGCAGTAGCGACAGCAACACCTACGGTCTCTGTGGCAGATACAGTGTCGTCCACAGTACCCGCTATGGCAGAAGTCACAGCAGCCGCTACAGGAACAGTCGCAGACACAATGATGCAAATGGCAACAGCCATGGGCACAGTCACAGCTAGAGAGTCATCCACATCAGAAACATGCCAAGCGGCCGTAACAGGAATCACAGGTATGTGAAGAATCATTCTAAGCATGTGATTTCCACACCCAAACCCTTCACCATCCATCTTGACCTTCCTCCTCACTTTGTCGAGTTTTCCGCTTTTCCTCTCGATAATCGCTTTGCTCCAGCAGTTGACCTTATCTTTAAAATTTGTTCCATCTTTTTTAGGGGGGAAACGGTTACCCTTTACTGTTATAAGCGGGTACCTGGCTTAATTAACGGGCGGGTAATCGTTTACCCTTTAGCAGCCAATAGTAACAGTTACTATACATTTCGTGTCAGGAGGACATGCAAAGTCATGCAATTCACAGCAAGTGCACTACATCGCAACAAGCGCAGCATGCGCACTTACCGCGCTACATGCAAAACAGTCAAAATGGTCATATGTAGCAGGATCGAACAAGCAACAACACATTCAAACTGTACATCGCATTGTACGACTGGGCAAACCAGTTGGTATTGCCGTACTGTACCGTCGTACACGACTAACGGGTACTTGTTTGCTAACGGGTCAGCAGGTAAACAAACGGGTACCCGGGTACCCGGATCACCCCTTTCACCCCTAATCTTTTTAATTGTCACCTGCAACACCAAGTTGTGAAATGGTAAAAGCTAGACGAGTGCAATCTCCATATTTAGGTTTGGGGCCGTGTACAAACTGTAACTTGCTGATTGGACTACAAAGATTAAAAGCACTACACAGAAAGGACATGTTGTTGCTTGTTTTTGTGTGTATTATAATTTGCAAAACAAAGAGACAGATTTAATGAATAGTTGGCAAATGCAGACAGCATGTTACAGACGGTGGTCCGAAGGTTGCATCCGCACACTATGGCATGAAACGCTATACTGACATAGCTTCAAAATAACTACATGGTCAGCTTCTATGCAAAGGTAATAACAACCTCATTGAAGAATAGAGTTTACAACCATTGGGCATTCAAAATCTTTCATATCTAACAGATTCCGTTCTTCACTTTATCTCTTCCTGTTTGTGCCAAAGCAGAGGCAGCAGCAGCCACAGCAACACCTACGGTCTCTGTGGCACATACAGTGTCGTCCACAGTAGCCGCTACGGCAGATACTGTGACACATGAAGCAACCGCTACGACCACACTCGCAGACAACGTGGCGCACACAGTAGCCGCTACGGCAGAAGTCACAGCAGTCGCTACAGGAACAGTCGCAGACACAATGATGCAAACAGCAACAGGCATGTACACAGTCGCAGCTAGAGAGTCATCCACATCAGAAACATGCCAAGCGGCCGTAACAGGAATCACAGGTATGTGAAGAATCATTTCTAGCATGTGATTAATGCAGTCACCCAAACCAATCACCTATGCCTCCTCTTTTCCTTTGCTTTTCCCATCCACATCCACTTTTCACCAATCATTGACCTTATCTTTTAACACGATCTGTACATCGGTTGGTGTGACGCAACATGCAGCACATACTTCCAACAACTGTACCCAACCGCTCAACAGAGAACTTTAAAATCACATCCTTCCAACAACTGTACCCAACCGCTCAACGGAGAACTTTAAAATCACATCCTTCCAACAACTGTACCCAACCGCTCAACAGAGAACTTTAAAATCAGACTTGTAAAAAATCAACATATCTATGTATTAAAATGAGCGCTGAGGCGACAATAGTTTAAGGACTGCGATGAGCAGAACGAGCTGAACTGTTTTTCACAAAGGCTTTATTGTGTTCAAAAACGAGTGGATACGAAGGTGGTGAAGAACAGAGAGGGAGAAACAAATGTAGTATGGAAGAAATGATGAAAAAAGGAATCACATCGAAAATCTTGAGTCACCTCCACCACCACACTGCGCTCTTTAGCCGACTAGACCCTCCTGCACACAACCATCACCATTGCGAGGACACTTCTGTAGACGATATTGATAAACTCCTTCAGACAGCTGTTTCGCTAATACATAGCTCATCAGTGAAGGTAGATGTTGAATGATTAAAAATATAGACCAAACTGCTATTATATAGGGGGTTTCCACATACAAAACTGGCATAGCTGAGGTGATAACGCGGGAAAGGAAAAGTGTGAAGTACTGTTGACGCGCATTGGACATGCATGCAGCGTCGGAAATTCGGCGCGGAAAATCAATCACTACTCAATGCAGAAATAACGTGCAAGAATCAGAGTACTATGTAGCTAGTAGTGAGAGTCTGTGTACTAGTATTTACTTGGAAAATGGAACAAGTTTTCAGAGCACACTCCTTTGTAGTTAACAGTTATATATTACATACATGTACCTACACAGGAACATCGGTGGTCAAGTAGGGATGTCTCACACTTCTTAATTCTCAACTTCAACTCTTTGCTTTCTCATTTAGCCATGCTTCTAAGGTGTTTATATGCGTGCACATAATTATGCTCTCATGTCATTGGGCTTGCTTCCTGTTTGATTCTTTGAATTAAAAAAGAAGGAAACGGCAACAAGAACAAGGACGACGACGACGACGACGACAACAAGTACATACACACCACGAACAGGTCTGGTTGAGTACCTACACAAATGGATGTAGGTCTGGTTGAGTACCTACACAAATGCCGGGAAGTAGGTCTGCTTGAGTACCTACACAAATGTATGTAGGTCTGGTTGAGTACCTACACAAATGGATGTAGGACTGGTTGAGTACCTACACAAATGGATGTAGGACTGGTTGAGTACCTACACAAATGGATGTAGGTCTGGTTGAGTACCTACACAAATGGATGTAGGTCTGGTTGAGTACCTTCACAAATCATCCGGGATGTAGGTCTGGTTGAGTATCTACACAAATGGATGTAGGTATGGTTGAGTACCTACACAAATGTATGTAGGTCTGGTTGAGTACCTACACAAATGTATGTAGGTCTGGTTGAGTACCTACACAAATGGATGTAGGTCTGGTTGAGTACCTTCACAAATGGATGTAGGTCTGGTTGAGTACCTGCACAAATGTATGTAGGACTGGTTGAGTACCTGCACAAATGGATGTAGGTCTGGTTGAGTACCTACACAAATGAATGTAGGAGTGCCTGACCTTTGGAGAAACTTGGGGATCATAAAATTTTGCAAATCGATGTCTTGTTGTTGTTCCTTTTTTTAATGTTTGTGTTCGACTATAGACAATCCGTTTGACACTGGAACTTTCACTAGTCGCATCCTTCTGAAGTTATGTGAAATACCCTGTGCAACGTTTCGCAGGAGTGTTCAGAAGCAGGGTCTACTACCCACTATGGCAGAAATCCATGAATTGCTGCGCGCAGAAAAGTACGAGACAGTAGAAAACCATAATGTCAAGATCATCGGATACATCCATCCTGGAGGAATGGATTCCTACAAAAAGCTCTGTGCAGCAATCAAAGGCCTGAAGTATGAAGCTTTGTACACAGAGATGATCGTACTGCTTCCTGCTCACCGTCAGCCTAGAGATGGTAAGTGTGAAATTGTGTGCAGCTGTTTTGTGTGCGTGTGTGTGTGTGTGCGTGTGTGTGTGTGTGTGCGTGTGTGTGTGTGTGTGTGTGTGTGAGAGAGAGAGAGAGAGAGAGCATGTGTGTGTGTGTGTGTGTATGTATGCGTGTGTGTGTGTGTCTGTGTGGTAGGGTGTCTCGGTTAGGGTGTCCGTCTGTGTGTCCAGGCCTTCTCACTTCCCCAACTGTCACAGTATGGACTGGCATGGCCACCTTGCCATGATGGAGGATAACCAAACCCCCTCCAGTCAGCTATTGTGCTGGTCAGTTCTATCTACACTTCTTGCTTGTGCTCCCCTGAAACTTTGACATGAAGGGATCAGAGCGGACATCCATCATCTGAATACCATAGTAACATTAGTCTAAAGCTTGATTCATACTTCATTTCAGGTACGGGAAACGCGTCGCGTCGCGAAAAAGTTGATCTGGACTCAACTATTTCGCGTACGGTAAAGCCATCGCGCGGCGGTCGAGCGATAACTTTCCCGCACGCGAAATGAAGTATGAATTGGCCTTAACATTGTCCAACAGTGAGGAGAGTGGTGCCACACATTTTCCGCTGCGCAACCACCACATTCACAGTCAAACACATTCACAGTCCACCACAGTCAGAGTCCGCCATCCTCACACTCACACTCACAGTCCAGCACACTCGCCACAGTCCACCATAGTCCACCACAGTCCGGCACAGTTGGCCTCCCTCCCTCTCAGTGCCTAAATATGCATTCTCATTTCTATTTTTGTGATGCTTGCATTTAAATACTATTTAAACATTCATTTTTTCTCAGACATTCTTTGCCATTTTTCGGCTGCGTGTGTGTGCTTGCGCACGTGTGTACTGGTGTGCATTTGTGGGTGTACGTCTGTGGGCGTATGTGTGTGCGGGTGTACGCGAGTATGTGCATGCGTTTGTGTGTGATTTTTGGTGCCCTTGTCTGTGTGTGCATATCTGCTGTATTATTGTACAGATTGACCCACACTGGCTGCTCACAGTGCTACGAGTTTATGATGAGGATGATAATCATCGTCAGTGACAGCAGCATCACCAGTACCAGCCACAGGAGCAGCAGCAGCAACAGCAGCAGCAGAAGTAGCAGCAGCACAAGCATACTCGTGACCTAATTCTCAGGTACACCACTTTGTGTGTTTCCTGCTCTGGCGCAACTATGTACACACACTGTACAACTATGTACACACACTGTACAACTATCTGCTGAGCTAGTGGTTGCGGAAGCAGGTGTTCTTGCCATTTAATAGCTCTATTGCTACCCGTTGTTATTTTTTCTTCCTGCCATTTATTTCCTTTCCTCCTATGCTCCTTACATATTCGCCTTTATGTTATTGGGCCACTACAGGTTTGATTGTACAACTATGTACACACACTGAACAAGGCAGAGGAGATTTGTTTTTTCGGTTTGGTTTTCGATACGAGAAATAATATTCGCTCATTTGTTCAGCTGCATAATATTTCTGCATAATATTTCTGCATTGTTTTATTTTGTCTGTACTTTGGCCTTCAAACTACATTAACGGCTACGTAATGGTGTTTAAATTGGCGTGTGAGCAACACTGGCTCACACTCAAAACTATTTTTACTTCACCATAAGCACAGGCAAAATCTGCCTTCTCGCTGTGTTGATGACGGTAGCACAACACAGAAGTGTCACTGCTGCCTTTTGTGGAGCACTTTTCAGAGTGTGTTTCTTTGTGTTATATCTTGCTGTTTCCTGCTTCCTCTTCTGTCCTTTTTGCTAGCCACTGCCATAAGCCATCAGCTGATTATCTTTTTTTTCCTTCTCTGCTACATTAGATTTGTAGACCGTTAATTTTATGTTTCAAACTCCATGTTGTTGTCTCTCCTCCTCCCCCCCCCCCCCCCCCCCCCCCCACACACACACACACCAAACACACTCACACCCATCATTCCCATCCCGTACCCAACCCCACGCATACACATCACACCACACCTCTACATTATCGTGCTATTGTTTTCATTGAGTAGTCTTGGTCATGCTAATTACAATAGAAATCCCTCGTCCTCTCCCACATCTCTATTTCACCTCTCTTTACAAGTCATGTCCCCTCTAGTATTAAACTATTATTCTCAGGAGAGAGTAGTGTTTGGTTATCATATTTTTCGATCTTTTTTTATTTTCCCTCTAACGAAAATGACTGTGAGTAACGATAGGGTAATTTTAAATGCTTTGCGAGAGTTGGCAGTCTCGGAGGGCCGGCTGTCAGTGACTTGGAGATGATGTTGGACAGGACACTACCCATGTATTCTCCTGGCATGTTTTTTTTGTTTTGTCACAGGTGTTATTGTTTTGGTTTTTACATTGATTTTGTATGTGGAAACAAGGGGATTACGGATTTTTGACTCTTTCCTCTACCAAATGCCACTGTTTACACATGCATTTGTTTTCATTTTTTGGTGTTGTGTTCTAGTCATTCATCATGCCACCATGAATTGTTTTCTGTTTGCCCGTAAAAGAGGCCTGTGTTTTATTGATTTTTTGCTTGGCTTGCCTTCACTTCAATCACCATGATCCACTGATGATTGTGACAAGAAAATCGATTCTGGGAGAGGTTTTAAAAAACATTCCAAAACAAATTCTTGCTGTTCATGAAGTGAGCTTGCATGCTTCTTGGCCCAAGGGTATCCTGGATTTGAGTGCGAGTTTACGATGAATTGCCTTCGAGTCCCATTTCAGGTTTCACCTCTCGATCTGTTTCCTTTGTTCCAGCTGTTCAGGCTTGCTGCTTGCTGGATCCATGCACCTGCGAGGTACACTAGCTGCATGTTTCATGATTTCTAGTGTTGGCCAAATTTGAAGGACAACTACCGGGATAGCAGGTGGTTTCCGGTTAAGAGAAAGTGAGAACTAATAATTATTATTACTTCTTTTTGAGTTTGGCACTAGCCACAGACAGGAATTTTCTACACACGAAGCTTCGAACTTGAAGGTCTACTTTCACACCTTAGGCTTAGCACCCCCGCGAACATCCTCTCATGCACTGTGGCGCGCGGGAGACAGTGGACTCAGCGGACTCAGTGGACTCAGTGGACTCAGTGGACTCAGTGGACTCAGTGGACTCAGTGGACTCAGTGGACTCAGTGGACTCAGTGGACTCAGTGGACTCAGTGGACTCAGCGGACTCAGTGGACTCAGTGGACTCAGTGGAGTGGAGAGGAGTGCGAGTCGCAGTAACTGTCACAGTCATTCAAAGTGTCACTGTGTCAGTGCCAGTGCGTCGTGCTACATTTTCCACAGCTCAAGTATTTTAAAATTTTGAAGGACGCTTCACGCAGCTTCATTATACTTGCATAGTTTGCAGGCAACCTGCCTGCACTCAAGAGAGCACTGCATTTCACACAAATCCATTGGTATCGTTACAACGTTTCGGTCTTTCTGACCATCATCAGGCATGAAGTGGACATGGAAAGAACAGCAGTATAAAAGAAGGAGGCAAGCAGGCAAAGCGCGGTACATAGTGACAGCGCGCGTAGAGAAGTGCAAAGCACGTCATGGCGGGTGTGCATTACTACATATACATGACAACACAAGCACAAACGGCGAGAAAAGTAGATACTGCGCTACAGCAGTGATAACAGCCCAGTTCCAGTCTCACACCACCAGTGAGGTGTGTAGAGCCCCGCGCCACTCGCAGTAAGGTGGTGTTATAGCAGATCCCAGCCACTGTTGTTGTTAATTTCCGGGGATCGCTCCCTGATATTGATGGCCTCCCGGATCCTCCTCCTGGGGCGGTCACGCTCAGAACCGAGAACTCGGATACCCGAGAAAGCCGTTGCTCCCAATGGCAATGGGTCAGATGCATGCTTGGCCGCGAAATGCTCACCCAGCGCGGTGCCGCTCACTGTGTTACGTGCGTCGTCGTTGTGTTCTTTCGTCCTGGTAGCTAGGCTGCGGTACGTCTCTCCGACATATTTATCACCACATTTGCACTCGAGGTGGTATACGACGTTATACTTCTGCAGAGTTTCCTAGATCACTTCAATAATGCTGATCCTAATATTAAATTCACTCACCAATCCACGGAGTTGACTGGCTCAATCAATTTCATGGACACGACCGTCCATGTCTCACCAGATGGATCTATATCCTATGAACTATACCGCAAGCCATGTCACAGCAGACTGGTATCAGACTACAACTCGTCCGTTCCCAACCAGCAAAAGAAAGCAATTGCTTCCTCTGAGTTCCTGCGTGCCGTCCGTCTATCCTCCGATGTTGACACCCTCAAAAGAATTGAAGAAAAAGTAACCAACATCCTAAAATTCAACAACTTCCCAGAGTCAGTTATAGTTTCGGCACGTGAACGAGCTATGCGCCCCCGACGTGGCAGAGTGCAGAATGAATACCGTGTCACCCTCAACCTACCGTTTCACACCGAGTATATCCACAACAAAATTCAATAAATTACTCCGGAAGTACAAGATAAATGCCCTGCTGATTTACAGGAACCGCCGTCTAAGTTCTATGATTTGCACGTCTGCCCTCCGCAAACCACCATGCCGCAGGTATGTAGACCCGTCCAAGCCCCGTAAACGGGGGCAAAGCTGCTTGTGTCGCCTGCATGTCCGGTTCAGAAGCATGCACAGAGCGAAACGTCGTATACCACCTCGAGTGCAAATGTGGTAATAAATATGTCGGAGAGACGTACCGCAGCCTCGCTACCAGGACAAAAGAACACAACGACGACGCACGCAACACAGTGAGCGGCACCGCGCTGGGTGAGCATTTCGCGGCCAAGCATGCATCTGACCCATTGCCATTGGGAGCAACGGCTTTCTCGGGTATCCGGGTTCTCGGTTCTGAGCGTGACCGCCCCAGGAGGAGGATCCGGGAGGCCATCAGTATCAGGGAGCGATCCCCGGAAATTAACAACAACAGTGGCTAGGATCTGCTATAACACCACCTTACTGCGAGTGGCGCGGGGCTCTACACACCTCACTGGTGGTGTGAGACTGGAACTGGGCTGTTATCACTGCTGTAGCGCAGTATCTACTTTCCTCGCCGTTTGTGCTTGTGTTGTCATGTATATGTAGTAATGCACACCCGCCATGACGTGCTTTGCACTTCTCTACGCGCGCTGTCACTATGTACCGCGCTTTGCTTGCTTGCCTCCTTCTTTTATACTGCTGTTCTTTCCATGTCCACTTCATTCCTGGTGATGGTCATAAAGACCGAAACGTTGTAACGATACCAAAGGATTTGTGTGAAATGCAGTGCTCTCTTGAGTGTAGGCAGGTTGCCTGCAAACAATTCAAGTATTTTATTTGCATCACCTGACGAATCTTGTTTTCCCAAAAGTTCTTTATTGTTCTCATCCATTCAGCAAGTGATTATTGTGGCTACAAGTCATGAAGTTTCAGTTCATGATGTTATCGTGTGCGTGCTTATGGAGACATTCGCGGCAATATGCCCTGTTACACTCCGTGGCAAAAGCAGCTATTTGAAGAGGCCCTAGGCTAGGATACTAGCCACCAGTCACCTGTATGCGCGTCACGTGACGTGACGTGGATACTACTACTAACTTGTCACTGAGCCTGAGGAAGTACAATGTAGGTGGTAGCCAGTCAAACTCAGATGATCAGGGAGTCGTAAAATACCGGGAGGCGACACGAGATGCACAGCCGCGTCGGATGATTGACTCAGCTCGGGCACGAGTGCTGAGGGAAAATATAGAATCCCCATGAGGTCAAAGCGGCGCAGGTCATGCACAAAGGACGCGTTCGCTGTTTGGTCCCAAAAATCCAAAAAATAATAGGCTGCTCCCAAGGAATCGTCCGAGTGTCAGCAGTTGATTTGGTGATTCTAAGTTTGTGCCTTGACGGGGGAAAGGATGATGGAGCTTGACAGAGATGCCTGCCAAAGTGATGAGTCCACCGTGGAAGATGTAGATGACGCCACGTATCCACTTGGTGACCTGAGTTGTGGAGATGTTCAGCTGTGGACTACAGGTGAGATTCTCTCGTCTGCATTTTTTGGTCTCGTCTTGTCCTTGTGAACACGAATGTATAATCTGTAGCATACTAAGCGCCCCAAACTCACCCGAAAAATGGGAGTCTGCCCACGGTGCATTGTCTGTTCACTATGACATGTGACAGTGTTGAAACTGTGACAGGATATTATTTTATTCATGTCCTGAAAATTACGTGTGGACCTAGTATGTAAATTGTTGACATTATAATAATATTATGTAAACCTCCGCCCTCAACCCTTGCTCTGCCTATGTGCAGATCCATGTAAGAGTGGCAGTGCCACCATATACACACTGTACCACCATTGTACATGTACGGACGGCAGCACCTTTTTTGGCTCCCGAAAAGCGGCCTTTTTTGTAATTTCCTGGGCTTTAGGCCACCGGAAAAGTCCTTTATTTAGTAATAAAATGGCTAATAAGCCCGCTGCTGAAGTGGACATTGCAGTCCTGATCGACAGGGAGCCGAGGGACCTCATCAGGCAGCGTGGACTGGAAATCCCACGAAAAGCCACCAGACCCGATCTTGTTGCCCTGCTCAGAACATCGCTGGATGAGGACAAAGAAGTAAGTGAACCTACTAGCACGAGCCCCCTGGCTGCTAATAAGGGTGTTGTTGCCAGCCTGTGCTCAGCTCTGTCTGAACTCACTAATGTCGTCCGAGAGTTGAAGGCTGAGTTACACGCCATGAGAGAAATAGAAGCTAAATTCAACGATTCTGCCAGAGAGGTGTTGTGCCTGAAGACGGCAGTACGGGAACTTAGAAACGACCTGCATGCCAAAGTTGAGAGGTACGATACGGTGATTCAAACTTTGAACAATGACCCACTGAACCAAGCTTTGCCAAAACCGTATCCTCGACCCCACAACATCGACCCACGTATGCAGAAACTTTGCACCAACAACCAGCATTGCAGCCCAAAAATACTGCCCCTGCAGCTGCCCCAGCTGCCCAAAGGCCACAACGCCTGCCTCCCAAGCCGTACAGGCGACAGGAATCGTCTCGCTGGCTGGCACCCAAGCTTCCAAAGAGTACCACCCGATGTGCACTAACGGGTAAGCCAAGAGTCAACGTGTTCTACGTTGGCAACGTGGACCCCGAATGTGATGCCAAATCAATTGCAGAGCATTGTCAGGCACAGGATGTACACATCGTGCAGAGTGTTGTGTACACCTCGGAGCGCTTCCAAACAGGGTTTGCCAGGGTCACAGTGTTGGCGTCGGACGCCACCACCGTACAGGACAAAGCATTTTGGCCGGACTCGCTCGGTTTTGCAGTTCGTGAATAGCGCTTTGGTGCTGACGGCACAGCTCCAGCACTCACATAATGCCACACACCACCTACCGGTATTCACAGCCCCTGAACCCGCATGCTCCTGCGTTCACCCCTTTGTCTCCAAATCCCTCAACCCCAGCATTCTACTCTACAATTCATCCATCCAACCGACTAAATGTTGGCCACATAAACATTTGCAGCCTACGACATAAAACCCATGTTATATTAAA